ACGGCCAACAATACTGTCTAACTTCCATGTTCAATACCGATTGCTTCACAATTATGTGTCTTCGCTCGCGGCTGTTTCAAACTCACTGACTGACTACTACCAGCATACACACCTGCACATATAGGCGCGCACATGCGCGTACCCAACTAGTCGCAGTTTCTCAAAAGCCGCTTGGACACGCGAAGCCGAGGCCACGCAGCAGATGTACTCAATAGACCATTAACACCACACTTGATATTGCTTAGCAGTTATATAAAAGCAACTGTCATAATCACCTACGGCACTGGCAAACACACAGTCAGACACTCTCGAGCACGACTGGACGCAGTTAACATCAGCCCAGGCTTCGACAACGGCAACTGCTTCCTGAGACAGCAACGCAGGGTGCTGTGCACAATAAATCCCTCCTGCTGTTAGGTCCTGCGTTTTACCAACAATATGGGATTCATCCTGATGAATCCTGTCGCTTGTATCTTCGACTGAAATTTGTATCAGTTCACCTCAGCATGTCCACTGATGTATTCCGCTCGGAAATAGTTCATTTCATCGCTTAGGGTCAACGAGTCTTTGCTTCTAGGTTATTGTTTTCACTGTATGGACAAGCTAAAAGTAGCAAAGTTCTTCGGGACTATGAAAATAGCCAACATGGTCGATAATGTGCCCGTAAATTTTTTCTTAAGCAAAATTTTGCTATTTAAAGACATGGTTATCCCTTTAAACGATGAAATCGTTTCGCTAGAACACGAGGTATGCTTTCGTCAATTACAGACCGAGCTACTGTCCTGAGAACTAATGCTAGCAAAAAATGTTGCGGCCATGGGTGCAATGTACAAGTAGCTCTTTTATTTCATGTAGGGTCTAAGATTGAACCATGCTGATAAACACATTTTGCCGTTGCTCATTCGGATTCTGTGTTACCAAAAAACTTTTTCTGCAATCTGCATGATAGGAAGCGTTTGATTCACCAGCAAAACGTGTTCTGAATACCATATGCCCAATTTTTTATAAGAGCGCTTATGAGGTACGTGGTCAAATGCCTTCATAAGATCGAAAAGAGGACATCAACTGAATGACCCTGGCCTCGTATAACTTTGTTTCGCTGCTTCTTTCTTACTTCACCATATCTTTAAACGATCGTTGACTATTGCTTTAAACAGACGACTTGTTGACGGACATGAAATACTCTGCCTACAATACTATTCATTCCTGAAGTGCATATAGGTGGTCACGAGGAGCATCAATTGTCCGCATAGTACTTACTTTATCACGGTATTAAGTTTGTTATAATGGGACCCTTTATGCCTTAAATACAAAATTAATGTATTTCTATGGCTTTTTTTTATATATTATAAGACACAGTTTGTCATCAGGCAGTCCTTTTGGATACTGATTCGTCTTTACTTCGTGGTATCAGACAAACATACGTTTCTCCTATACGGGACTTAATATTCTCCTGCCTAATTTTGGTGTCGCACTATTGCAGCTCCCCAAAAAAGGTTTTTTAAATCCGGGATCTACTACTTCTTCTACTGCCTGCTTATCCTGTTTTCATTTTTTGTTTCTTTGAGTCAACGCTTTACCCACTCTGGGCAGTCGACGACGCTATTGGATAATAAATGTCTATATAAAACAGAGATTCGGCAATGTGCATTATTTGAATGGTTAGCCGACATATCATCTTGGCGGGATGTCGATTTCAGTAAGTGTCGAGAATGAGTTTTTGTCAATTTTTCAAACTAAAGCATACAACCGGTGAAATTACGCTTATAATTAATCAGCTATTACGAGTAATGTATATAATTTAGATCCGTAGTGGAACAAATATACGAAGTCAAACTGAAATGATCATTAAAAATTAAGTTTAATGCAAAAATGTTTGATAAATGGCTTAGGCGCCCGGGCAAAAATTATAATACAGCTTTTTCTGTGTGAAAATCTCTTCTTAAGTTTAAATTATAACCTGTAACTTTTAAGCTGCAAATTGTCCCGTTTTATGCATACTATAGATCACTTTTGAGTCCTCGCAAGTAGTCGCATAGCGAATTCTGTGATGGGATAATCCACGTGTGTATATATAGGCCTTATTGCATCTTCTTATAAAAGCCCGACATGTTCTCCCTAGACGTGTAAAAGGTGTATCTTCAATCATGTTGCCTCGATGTTACCATACTAGCTTATGGTGATACAGTTTTATAGTAACGACTAATGTATCCTGACGCCTATGTCCCAGCTATTTTTTATACTGCTGGTGCTTTTGCGCATTTGCAAGACTCGCCAAAATTGGCCTCGAGATGTCGTAACTTTTGCGGATCCAGACAGTAAGATAGAAATTTATTGTTAGTCCGGAAGGAGCTAAGTAAGTGGTCTAGAACAGCTTATTAGGACAGTTGCTCTTATTGCTCATTAGGAAGACCTTTCGCTTGCACATAGAAGAGGTTGGTCTCGCTTCGTTTTTGCCCACGAACACATATTTTAAATAAAATAAGAATTTTTTATGAATGTAATAGATTCAGACAGTGTAATTTATGGCTTACAGAATGTGCATAAGTTTGGAACTAGCAAAAAGCAGCAGTTGAACAGATGAAGTCTTGTACTACGTATAAAAGAATATATATATGCAAAAATGTGTACCGGGAATGTACACCAGCATTAGAGAAATATGTGTCATTTATGTCTGCACATGATTTTTATCAGCTAAAATTGGAAGATACCACGCAATTTAAGATAAGTATTTGATTAATAAATCACAGACGTTTTCCTGAACTCTACTCCTATGATTTTGTGCATGCAAATACGTCTGCTGCGTATCCATTATATTAAGTTTCGCATAGATGTATTTCTGTGCCATGTGATATTGAGTCAAATGGTTAACAGATAACGAACATATACAACCGGTTCTTTAACAATAATTATGCCATTTGTTAGACATGTAATTCGTTGTAAACTCTTAATGATATAGTCAGAATGTCGAAACAGATAGACCTATTACCTTTAAATAAGACCCGGATTTTTCAATTGTTTTTCAATTTCGACAGACTGAAGAATTTCAAAAGACGCTGCGTCAACTTCCAGGACTTCCTGAAGTTCGGCTTTTTGTTAGGGCTGCGTTCTACAATCGAGATCAACCTGCCGCGGATGTTTTTGGTCAGCAGTGGCTCATGGTGTTTCACTTTATGTCGGAACAAGGTCTTATCAAACTCCGGCTTGTACCCGTGAGTTTCGACAACGAACCCGAAGATTACAAATACCTGCACGCTTCAAGACGCCTTCCAGCGGCACTCCTCCCCGACTTCCAACTAGCTGCCTCAACCACCGACGAACTAGAATCTCTTTTGAGAAAGTTTCAGCACCCTGACATGAAACTCCCCTTTGAATCGGAGGAGGTGGCGACTGCAGAACTCGCCTTTCTAGACATCTACAAGAGCATGTTCCAGTTTGCCCGAAATAACACGGAGCGGCCATTACTGAGCGCTCTCCAAAATCTGGAAGACTACTTGGAAACCCGAAACACTCGATTTCTTCTGGGTGACTCTCTTTCATTTGCGGATTGTGTGCTGATGCCCAGGTTGCAGCATATGCGTGTAGTTTTGCGTGCCGTTAAGAACTGGGACATTCCTGTAACATTTCCAAGGGTATGGAAGTATGTGAGGGCTATGTACGAGGAACCCACATTCACCGCTTGCTGTCCTCTAGACCGTGACATTCTGATGCACTACAAAGAGAATAAGGCGCTTCAAATTTCAATGCCTACCAAAAAGGCTATGGGGGACGCGCTCCGTACTTGTCCGCCTGGGTTAAAGGTGTGATAGTGATATTGCATCTGACATTCTCCACTATTATCAGATTTGTTTCAAACCTATTGTATTTTAAATCCACCTTCTCTCAGATTCAGTCTTCAACCAATTCACTCCTTGGCTCTAGGCTTCTGTACATCATATTTTATTATCTGTAATGGCGCCGTTGCGCCTTTTATTTGTCCCTTCCACATATCCATTACTTAAAAAGGAACAGTATTCATGTTCGCCATGAGACTGACGACCGGCCAATCAATCAAAAAAGATACTCTTGTTTCGAATTCCGCTTTGTATAAAAATAACATTTAATCCTTGATTCAATTTTGTTTTTCACTGATCTAATAAAGAAACATCTATCCATTCACTGTTATTTTATTATTATTACTGTTATCTTTACTAATGAGAATGTGTAAAATATTGGCCCAGTTTACCTCTTTTTCTCCAACTGTAGGTGGACAGTCAGTCTGCCACCACAACAGTTGCGGATAGTGAAAGATCGAGTGTGATATTGTTTAAAAGCACAGATATCCCCGATTTATGTTAAGTCAGAATCACGAGTTTGGAGAGGAACTAGCTGAGACGAATGCATACTGAGACCTCTGTCATGTTTTTATTTAAGACGCTAATCTGAATCCGCTGCAGGCAGACGTCGAAAAAACGAAATTCTCTAAATGTTTGAAAGTATTGTAGAAAAGCGTTTTTGCGAATGATAACCTTTTGACTATTTGTAGAATGGACAGCACATAATTATATTTGTCAGATATCAGTGCGTTGATCCCGATAGTACCGATTTTTGGTAATTACTCCTTTTAGGTAAGAACAGACCATTACACTGACGTCTTGAAAATGCGTGTATACACTAGACTTAACTATGAGTTTTCCTAAACTGTCAGCCTAATTATGCTAGGTGACATTGAGGGGAACCGGCTGCATTAATTGTAGGCTACTTGCATCACAATAAGCAGTACCGCCACAAAACCGGTAATTAGACAGTCGTGAGTGATGAGATCTATTTTTCACGGCCTATTTGTGTCCTGTAGAATACTAAATAGTGAACTCCGAGTGAATTTTTTGTTCGGAAGTGTCACATGCAGCGAGTGCGCCTCTGTTACGAAACCCACCGTCTTTCAGCAGAAGGGCAAAATTAAGACAAATAAAGAGTGGGACGCTAATTTCTGCCTTCAAATTGATCGTCAAACAGACGTACCCGGTCCTAGAGTTCGAGTCTCGGTTCGGAACCCGCATTTTTTGGTCGACTCGCAAGCCATCCATAAGGAAGGTTGCGTATGTCTGGCTGACGATGGCTCATGTACATAAAAGGACTACACTTGTCTCCTTCGTCTTTGTTGGTACTCTGTTTTTTTACATGATTGTTCTAGGTTGAAAATCAAGGCACTAGAGAACGATCAGAGTCTATAAACTGATCGACTAACGTTCTTGTAACGGAAGCCAAGACAAATGAAGGTGTACGTAGTTGACGGACCTATTGGACAGTGTTAAGGCTACTAAAGTTTAACCCTAGCGGCTGGGATCTTCCAGGCCGGGTTCTTTAGGAGATAAGAGAAAGAAGTCTTGGGAAAGCCAGAATAGTAGACACAATGTATTGTGA